CACACACACACACACACACACACACACACACACACACACACACACACTGCTGACGGACGGGAACAATTTATTTGACCCAACGCTACGCTGTCCTTTCACTTCATGGTGCCGGAAGAAAGGTCGTTTTTGTCGCTCAGATCAAAAAGCGTTTCACTTCCTTTGGACATTTCAGCTTCTCGGGCTTAACTGTTGTTACGTCGACAACATGCCGTGTGAGACCATGTGACGTATTAGCCTGTTTAAGCATGCGTGTGCGTGCGAGTAGTGCAGCTCCCAGGTGCCCCCTTCAGCTGAAGACCAGCAGTGACTTTATTATTAATGTGTGTTGGCTTGCAGCTCTGCAGACAGCCTCTCCTGCTCTGCTCGAAGATCTAAGAAAAAACAAACAAACAGCAGAGCGGCGCTGAACAGGCAGAAAAGATGCAGACAGACCAGAATGTTCACACAGCGTCCACTGTGTGAACATTCTGGTCTGTCTGCATCCCGTCTGTGCTGCTGTAGAGACATTAAGGCAGGTTCGTCTTTAAGATGCTCAGATTCCTCTCAAATGTAAGAGCTTTATGAAAGATAAGTGAAAAACTAAATCTGGGTTTAAAGAGTGAAGTAATGATGATTAATGAGCGCAGGAATGTGGATCGCGTGACGAGGAAAACGCTGCTGCTTTAGCGCATTGTGGTGCGTAATCCAGCTCACCGGTGTAGATGCTGGCGCTGGAGGCCGGGATGCCAAACTGGGACTCGATGAACTTGGGGATGAAGGTGATGAAAGCCGTGACGATGGCGCTCTCTGCCGTGTAGGAGAGGCTGACGAACAGGAAGGTCACGTTGCTGAGGATCCTCACTGCAGCTTTGGGCAGGTCTGAAAGAAGAGGAGGAGGAGGAGGAAGGAGGTTAGACGGAGAGAAAAGGTTCTTTTATTTTGTAATGAATCTGTATGTGTGTGTGTGTGTGTGTGTGTGTGTGTGTGTGTGTGGGGTTTGGTACAATTTGACACTTATGTAAAGATAATGAGCTGTACTCGTTCCCTTTGTGTCAACTCTCCTTCAAATCATTTAAAATAAACTTGATTCAGGAGCAAAAAAAAGCATTTGTAAGCATTTTATTCACATATATCCGGATGAAAACTCATAAACTTTCTTCTTGCAACAATCTGTTAATCTGACGATTACCTTTTGGATTAATGAAGTAGTTTTCTTTAAAATGTCAGAAAAAGATGTTTTTAAATGTCTTATCTTGTCGAAAGAAACTGTTCAAAACCCCAAAATATTCTGAAACCAGCAAATAATCACGTTGTAGAAGCTGGAACTCGAGAATTTTCCTTTAAAAATATACTCAAAACTATGAATTGATTATCAAAACAGCTGCTGAATAACGACTAATTATTAAATCAACTAATCATCGCAGTTTTAACTTCTGATCAAACCAATAACCAAAGGAGTGGAGGGCGGGTTTTGTTGTCAGAAGGCCAATGAGACAAATCAAATAAACTTCAAAAGAAACTCTTGTTATATTAAAAAGAGGAGAGACATCGTCGGTGTTTTCCCGGTACCTTTGATGTCCTTCCCGAAGCCCATGGACGAGGTGACCGCCTGGCTCTTGCCGTTGTTGCTCTTCTCCTTGAGGACGTCGTCGTCGCTGGACATGTCGTCCATGCTCAGCTTTTTCCTCCTCTTCTTCTTCTTGTGTCGGGGCGGCAGCTTCTTGGGGAAGGTGAACATGGGGAAGATGACCAGCAGCATGGCCACGGCGCACAGCAGGAACCCGCTCCACCTTTTGACGGGAGGATCGACATAGAAATACTCAAAAATACAGGAAAATGAAAAGAGGAGAGTCACTTTACTCTTCTCTCAGTCCGGACATTTCTATCTCTCTGTGCCTCATTATTGTGCACATAAACAAGTAAATCAAATCGTCAGGGTTGTGCAAAAAAGAATCACTGGTACACTCATCCATCCCCTTTCCTGCTATCATCACCTATAATTCATGTAGGAAGCCCGTGGCTGTTAGCTAGTGAGTCACTGGTTATGCTGCGAGTGAGAAGACGGCCTCACTGAGAGCTGTAAACAGATGACTAACCTCAACATCTCACGCAGCACATCTACAGATGGACGTCAGATATAAGACACAAGAAGAAGTGACCCAAACATGCATCTTATGCATTTCAAAGTGGTGCAGCACTCTTCCTGCATACAGTATCAGTTTAAATGTGGTGGATTTATCCTCTTGGTCCACTTATGATTCAATAATCACACTTTTAGCACAGAAAGGAGCAGGAGGGAAACAATATACATACATATTCTGCACTGATAGACTTTAAGGGAAGGGAATGTCTCTTGAAGGGAATGATTTCCGTCTTTACATGGTATTTGTTGACAATATGACACATAAAGAATATCACTTGAGTTATGCTTTAAATTAAAAAAAGCAGTGTAAAATGTATAATCTACAAACTGTCCTCACCAGTTGCCGATGAAGCGGGGGTCGCTTTGATCGATGTTGACGACGGTCTTGGGGTCCACGTAAAAGCCGATGAGGACTCCTCCCAGCAGGTAACCAGCTGCTGGACCCAGTGCTCCCATCACATACATGATGGCTGAGGAGAGATGGTGATCAGACTTTAGCAGCATAAAAACACACAAGAACACAGACTAACCAGTAGGTACGATCACTGATCATTAAATGGTTAATCACAGACTGTAGATAAGAAGTGGACGTCGTCTTCGTGACATCACCCATTGGTTTGTGGACTGATGTTTTGAAGCCTTGAGTTTGTAGATTTTGGCGTCGCCATTTTGTTTTTTTTCGCAACCAATAAACAGAAGTGACCATATCTGGACTGAGGAGGAGTGATGTAGAGACGCTGTATACGTCTCTGGTAGAGACCTGTCAATCACTGTG